TGCAAATAAAATTCCTTCTCAAATCATGAAGAAACAGAGTTGCAAACAAGGGATAAGGATAAGCAGAGAAAGAGAATAGTTGAAGAACAGAAACCTGTTCAGCCATCTTGTGCTTGAGAACCTTCTCTTTATCAAGTATCTTAAGTGCCACAGGTTCCCCTGTCTCAGAATTTCTTGCAAACTTCACTTTAGCAAATGTACCCTCCCCAATAGTCCTTCCCACCTCATATTTACCCACACGGCGCTTAATTTTAGGCTGACTCATGCCTCTTAGTACAACTTGAATTTTCTTCTTCTACTTCTAAAAGCTTCCAAAACCTATTCCTAAGACAAATATATAAATCCCAGAACAACATATCATTCAATTTACACAACATCAATTATAAAAGAAAGAAATAGAACATCGAAACATGTAGTAAAAGTAATGTTGAAAAACTTAAAAAAAAAAAAAAAAACAAAAAGAAAAAGTTAAAAGACAAGGTGAATATTCAATCTAAAAACTGCCCATTGATACAGCAAGAGAACATCCTCTAGAATATGCGTATATCAGTTCAACCAGAAACTGCCTGGAAATTCAATTAGAAGCAAGAAAATTGATTTAAATAAAAAAAAAAGGGAAGATGAAGAGTAATTGCCATTGAAATGCCATCAGACATCAAAATAAACATATGATGAAGAACCAGAAAAAGGTTACATCCCAGCAAAGTAAAACAGCCAAATAGACTAAAATATCCACTTACAAAACTCAAGTGATTTTTTTTATTTCAAATGATCGATTCCCTGGCAGCAGGAATCAGGCAAATTCCGGAAAAAGACACCAATCTTATTTATCTACAATACCCAAAACTAGTAAATTGTAATAAACAAATGAATTAGTACATAAAATATTTCCCACGAGAATCATTTCCTCCTGCTTAAAGCCACAAAATTTTTTGTTGGGATTAAAAAAATATGAACCTCAAAAATATCATAACAAAACAATCAAACAATTTAACCTGCCAAAGCATGCATTAGACCCCCCAAAGTCATGAACTTTAAACTAATCATCAACATTAGAGACAAAACCAAGGAAGATAATCGAAGTCTATAAGTTTTGCTGATTCAAGAAATTCAAGAATTACCAAGAAAAATAAATTAAGTTTGGAGTTTCGATTTCATTTCACAAGGACTGAGCTGATGCCTAAAAGGTGAAAAAAAAATCAACCAACAGTCAAAATTTAATCTTTTACGTAATTAAAAATACAAGCTTCAAAGCAAAAACGGCACCACAAAGTCAGTAACTCTAAATGTCCATTATCAAGTGTATAATTTAAATAAAAAAAATTAGTTGTACATGAATTGTATAATTGAAAGAACAAGAATTGTTGAAAGAAAGAAAAGAAACGGAATATACTTGAGAATATAAGATTAGAAAAGAAAGAAGAAACGGGTAAGGAGGAATTATGGAAAAATTGGCTTTTGAGTTAGTTCAAGACTCAAATATACAGCAAAATAGCCGAATTAAAAGACCTTGGTGATCATCATCTGAGCTGCTGCTACAACAAGACAAACTTTTGCCCACTCAGCCACTGCAACTTTTTTTTTTTTTTAATTTGGAAATTTGGGTTATTAATATCAACAATTCTTAATTTCTTAGTCATTGAAAAAACCAAAAAAAAGTTACATTTTTGGAGCATGATGGAAACGTTGTTGTTACCTGTTGGTGGTGAAAGGCAACAATAAAACATAAATTATTGTAAGAGAATAGAGAAATATGGTCCAGCCGTTGCCCAACCTCCTGTCTCCATCAACCCAATTCTTATATAGCATTTATGTCTGAAGGGCCCCTCAAAAACTAAAAACAAGCCAAGAACAACCAGGATTATTTCCACCAGGCACCAGCACATTGGTTTTTGACAATACTGCTCTTTCTTTTTTAATTTCTTATTGTCAAATGTGAAGTCACTAAAAGAATAAAAATTTGAAAGTTGCTCTAAATTAATACGACTTCTTTCAAAAGAAAATAAGACTTCCTTGTTGAAGTCTTTGGTTTGTGTAAACAAAAACATGCTCAAGAGGCACTTGGCTCAAACCCACCTCACTTTCTAATAATTTACATTTTTTTTTCTTAATTTTAATGAATCTTTCCACAAATAATAGATCAATTTTATTAATTCAAAGAAATAGCACTAAAAAATTTTTGCTGGCAATGAAAGCTTATAAACAAATAATAATGAAGATCTGGGAGATTCTGATTAAAGGGTGTGAATAGGATCTTGAATAATTTAGGAAAAAGAAAAATAGATAAAAATAAATTGGGTTGTGATTTGTTTTAGGGGTGTAATCGAGATACAGCTCGAGCTCGACTCATAACTCGTGGTTCGATACTCGATTTGAACTCGATCGAGTTTTATTTTTCAAGTTCGAGCTTGATTCGTGATTGAATTCAAACTACTCGAACTCGTTCGATTAAGTTTGATTAATATGTAAAAATAAGCTCGATTCATATACTCGACAAGAATTCGATTATTTATGCTCGAGTTCGAATTCGAATTCGAAATATTTTATTAATTAAAATAATAAAAATATATTTAAATATAAAAGTTCGATTAGGTTCGCGAGCTACTCGAGTCGAATATAAAAATACTCGAATTTAGCTCGATCGATAAATCGAGCTACTCGAGTTCGAGACTCGATAATAATAGAACCAAATTCGAATTTTCTTCGAATCAAACTTGAATAACTTACAAGTACTAATGTATCATTTATACCACTAATTATCATATAGTCAATATATATATATATATATATATATATAAAAGCAAAAAGAAATTGGTCACTCGGCAGCGTTTTCCCTTTTTTTTGTCGATAAATTAGACATGGCTAAAAGCATAAGGGAAAAAGGCCAAAAGTTGGTTCCATTTAGCTGAGTATTATTATTATTTTTATTTTGAAAATTATTAAAATGCTAATAATATATAAAATTATATTTATAAAAATATCATAATTTTGAAAAAAATAAATTATAAATATTAAAATTTAAACTTTATGTATATTAAATATTAACTTTTAAAAATAAGATGATTTAATTAAATTAATTTTAAAATTTTTAATTTGATAAAATAAAAAAATTACCAACATTTGGCACCATTTTTTTTTATTTTATAAGATAATAATTCTTCTATATAAAAGTAAAACCTTGGATTATAGCCATTATTCTTTTATTAGAGCTGCTACATGAAGTCTTTACAAACAATTTCAACTTTCTTCAAGCAAGGTCTTTTTGGAAATAATTTTTTATGGAATTCAAATTGAAATTTATGTTTGAAGTTTGGATGACCCAAAATTGATAATTTCATTTTATAAAGGTTTGCGTTTTAGGAAAAAAAAATTCACATTAAAATAATTGGATTGCACTGAACTATTAATTTAAAAAAAGATAAATGATATCAGATTCATGATAGATAACGAAGTTTTTAAATTTTATTATTAAAAATAATAAAGTGATATATATCTTTAAGATATAAACAAAATTTTAAAAAATTAAAAAATGTGATTTTTTTTAATATAATTTATGGAGTAAAAGATATGAATGTTAATGCACTAAAAAAAAAACTCATACTAAAAAAGGAAACATCAAATTTGTAACAAATTCATCGTTAAAAACAGAAAAGGAAGCCAAAAAACTTTTTAACCTTTTTCTTTCTTTTTTTTTTTTTTTGAATATAACTTTTTTCTTTCTCGATATAATAGTAAAGTACCTAAGCATTAAAAGATGAAAAACAAAAAAAGTTGCGTAAAAATTAGAGCTTTTTCTCAGTAAAAAAATGGGGGACCCATGTTCCTAAAGAATTATAAAAGGCTGAATTACTGGCACAAAGATTCTTTGAAAAATACCAAGAAAGTTGGGGGGACACTACGTAATTAATGTCCTTCCAGTTCAAGCTGAAGATATGGATCGGGTTGAGACACTAATAAAAAAAAAAGAAAAAGAAAATAATTGTCTGGAGTTGTTGAACATGTCTCTGTCAAGTATAAATAATATAAGCAAGCTTTGGTGTTTAAAAATTGCTACTTGCAAAACGTAAAACAGAAAATATCTGACGGATCAGACTGCAAACTGATCCAAACAAATTTACTACTGTTTCAGTGTTATGTGATTGAGAATGGGGAAAACGGATGGTGCTGAAAATTGATTTTTTACTGGTCTCCTGCTCAGAAGAGCCCATACACTCAAGGGTAGGTGGCTATCGAATGTAAGCACCAAAACGAAATTTTCTTTCCTCGAAAATAAAATTTTAAATAAGTTAAATTAATATAAAAAGTATTTTTAAATTTAAATTTTAAATCGATTTATTAATATAATTATTTTAAAAAATAATATTTAATAAATTTAAAATTCAAATTCAAAATATCTTCATGTGTCTTTTTTTTATTTTCATATTATGATCTAAGGTTCTTTATGTAAAAAAATGATTTTTAAAAGTTTTAAAATTTTGTTTAATTAATTCATATAATCATTTTAAAAAAATAACATCTAATAAATATAAAATTTAAATCTGTGATTTTTTTCATTATTTTTAAGTTATTATCTTTTTTATAAAAAAATATATTTAAATCTTCTGGACAGGAAAAAAGAATCAGATTTTTGCTTAGTATGATTGTAAAAGCTTGATACTAAATTATATATATAATTTAATAATTTTAGTCAAATTCTAAAAATATTTTGTGATGAATTCCAAACAATTAAAATTACAAAAAGGAACTATAAATAAAACAGAAATTTAAGCTGTAAAAAAGGAGAATTGATTATGTTGGAACACATCGTAATGGAAAGGTTGGGTTGAATTTCGAAAAAAATCATTTTCCTTTCCCATTTACTCCAATTATATTTGTGCCTATATTTCCTTCTTTTCTACCAAATATACTGACAAATCATTCTCCATTAACGTCAATCTCGCTGCAGGTTTGAATGCAGTTGCCTTTGTGTTTGATAGTAAAAAAAATAATAATAAAGAACAGAAAAATAAATTATTTCTACAGTTTGCAAAGGAAAGTGAGTAATTTCTATCACTTTCACAAGAAAAAATCAATCATTCCATAAGGGAAAAAAAACCTCTCTAAACTTTGTTTTCACATTTTTACATTGACATTTTCTAATTTTTATCTGTCTCCCTTCATAAAACTTGGAGTTTAACCATCGCTCATCTTCCTCGGAAAGTAGATTCCGAGCAAAAAACTTATTTTCCCTTTCCCCAACTCTCTTTTCCCTTTTCATTTCCTTCCCCTTCCATCGTAGCTCATCCCAGCAAGTGCACACAACAGCATCCAGTCAAATCAAATTATGGGTTAACGTTTGGCAATTTATCCACACTAAAACGCAGAGAATCGGTAGTTCATAAAACCAGTGTCAATCTCAATCAAAATTCTTGCAATCAGGCAAATATGTATTTTTTCCTGTCACTGAACGAGAAGAAAACTTTGTCTAACCAAACATGTAATGTACGAATCTAGATACATGCTTTTTTCTTTCCATATTGCTTATCTAAATCAGCTAAGATAAGAAAGCATATTCTTGTTGCCTCAAAAAACAAAAAAGAAAAAAAGCACCTTCACCAAAGGGATATCATATATGATACTTGTATTCTCAATAAACCCTGTTGCTGACGGTTTGATAAAGGGACCTCAGCTGTGTGTTCCATTTATCTATAGCAGCGTACTTCTTCATGCCCTTTGACCTGCATAGGCAAGCAAAGGTTAAGTGACAGTCAAATCAAGCTAACATTGGTTCAACTTCAACTCAACCTAGTAGAGTAGTAAATAATAAGTAGGCTGACCTGTCACCACGTTCCAACAGTCGGTTCACTTGATCAATATGCCCATCAATACGATTATCCAAGATCAAGGAAACCAACAACTGCTCAACATCTTTTTCTGGCACATTGAGTTCCTGAATGTTGAAGGTTAATGGAGGAGTTGAATGATATATTTAAAAGGGAAAAAAAAAAAAAACATATCTGGAGTTCATTATATAAAAGAAAGGTCAAGCTAGAAATGCTAACTTTATTAATAACCAAAGGAAAAAAATAAAATAAAACATCTGAAGCAACTGACTGGAAAGGAAAAACTGTAGCTTTCACCTTTGATATGAAAGGGATCCGGATTCTTGTATATGGTTTTATAAGCTTAAGTACCACTTGAGTTCTGACATTCTTCAATAAATCTTCAATATAATTTCGGATGAATGGATCATCCATGATTGTCCTTCGGTTACTCTGTGAAAGTAAAAGTTAAAAAATTGTATGAAAAAAAAATCAAGCTTAACAAGAAGGAAAGCAAAACAGAAGTAAACAGCAATATATATCACAACATCCATAAGCATTGCACAAAACTTAAGGATTTTTTTCAAACTCTATTATCTCGTTTCGATGATAGGCTGCTATAAACAGCAATATATATCACAACATCCATAAGCATTGCACAAACCTTGAGGATTTTTTCAAACTCTATTATTTCATTTCGTTGATAGGCTGCTATTAGATTTGTCATTGCCAAAATCTCAGGGTCATTTTTGTACCTGCAGGAATAGCAATCAGGAGAGAGAAGAGAGAGAGAGAGAGAGAGAAGCTACATTTAGAAGTTAGCGATATAAAAAAACTTACGGCTTTGCCTCCTGACCATCAAAAGGATTAACTTCAGATTCCATCAACATATTAGCCAGAACAAGGTATCTGGAAGTGACACAACAGGAGGGAAAGATCAATCTGAAACTTTATCTAATTAAGAAAAAAGACTGGATTAACAGGCATTTATAAAAGGACTACAAGGACTTATTTATTGGATAAGAGATTATATTTGAAATATCTCTCTCCCTATTCACACCCCTTGCCTATCTTTTTTATTTGTGCTCCCCTCGGATAGTATTTTCCTTCTGTTCTCACCATGTTTATCCCTACTTTCTCTTTCATTTTTGCCCTCCTAGATCTCACAGACTGGGCTCATATCCCCTCCAAATTGATTATTCTTTACTATCTGTCCTCTGCCTTTTATGCTTATTGTGGTAGTTATTTATTTCTTATGTTACTTTTGGTAAAAGAACGTTTAGACTAAAAGTGGCCCCTTCACATATATTTAGAGAAATGTTATCCATATTACACATTTTTTCCGGGCCATCCTAGTGCCTTAATGGAGTTAGATCAAAAGGCCAACATAGTATTGTAGATAAAAAGCTTCAACTGTCATGTCAAGTCTTTCCTATTTTAATACTGATGAGAGAGAGCTAATCAAATACAAAATGGGACATAAACATAAAGAAAGAAAAAGGAAATAAGGAAACAACAATCATACTTTAGGCATTGGATACGTCTCTGATTCCCAGCTTCATCATAGTTTTTGAAAGCTTCAAAGAAATCGGTGGCTGCCTCAGCCCACTGGCGCTCAGCCATATGCATCTTGCCACCACATTCACGAATTATCCCCATGATCCTCGGATGAGGTATTGCGGACTTAATAGCAAGTGCTTTCTGGTACAATTGCTGCATTTAATCCAATGTTTCAGACACAGCTAAATGCTATATAAGACCAAATCCAGACATAAACAGTATAACTTTGTAAAAGAATTATCAGTTAGATCAATGTTGGTTTTTAAGCCATCATCTCAAGTAGAACAAAATTACAAAAATCCATCAGACAGGATTAGCAATATCATAGACATCCAACTTTTAGGGCATTCATTTTTTTTCCTTAATATTGCATTAGGAGTTGCACATATGCTATAAGATGATCCATTTTCTGACAACTATACTTTAAACCTTTTCTCACAAAACTCAGAAGGAAGTTTGTAGTATGACAACCTCAATACAAGAAAAACCTGGTCTAGATGGGTTATGCTCTCTGTCTCTCTCTATCTGACCTTAAGGGTTGATATTACTTATCAAAGAATGATGTAATCATAGTGCAACCTAATATTCATTTCCAAATAATTGCTATTCGACTAACATGGGATGATAAAAGAAGAATGAATTGGGAATGCTAGGATTCAGTATTAACTAAGGGCAGAAGGCAGTGAATTATGTATGCAATTGAGGTTGAACAACGGAGCAAATTCCTGGAAGTAAAGGATGCTTCATGGCAATGCAAACAATATCATTGACCAGGATTCAAAAGAACTTTTTCATGGCTATAAAGGAATATGCTATAGTAGTTCTAAGGTTGCTAGAATTCTAAAGAACAGCAAAAAGAATACACAGGTTTAGACTTTCTGACCTAAGGTTCTAGAGATTTCAACCCTTAGTTCACATGAATTCCAGACAAAAATGTGCTTGATATAGAGCAAACAACAGATTCGGTACACATTCTGCTGTGTACATTACTTCCATGAGAAATCAATGATGGCGATAAAACAATACTAACTTCCTTTCAGTTGCAGACCTTTAAAAGGGAAATATGACTGCATATGTTCCATTCTTGAACTGCCAAACATTTACGTCATTATTTTCATTTGTAATTAATTGTATTAGACATGTAACAGAACCATTCCTCCTTCATCAAGAAAGAGTTCTTTACTTTACCAGCTGGCTTTAAAATCCTTAATGTCAAATTTTCACTTTTTTGGTACATATGAGGAAACCTAGAGGAGGAGAGGTAATAAAAACCTTAGACCTCAATCCTCGTAAACAGGGGTAATAACTGCTAGGCCAACCCTAGATTGTTCTTAATGTCACTTTCTTACTAGCAGTCTATGATACCTTTAAAAAACAAGGGAAAAAAGGGGGAGATTGGGCAAATACTGAAATCAGATTTGAGAACTTCCATTTTCCTTTGGAGATGGTAAAATGTGTAGATGGCATACAGTAAACAAGTAGCTGTGGTTTCATTAAGCAGCAACAAAAAAACCAGACTAGGAAAGAGGACAACCACTGAAATTAGGTTTGATGTTTGAGAACCCCCCCCCCCCCCCCTTTTCTATTAGAAATTGTAAAGGGTAAATGGCTTTAAATTAAACCAGTAGCTTTACTTCATATGATTATATCAAGAAATAAAGGATTCAAACAAGCTTAGTAAAGTTGCTCTAGCCCATCTCAAATGGACCTCAGTAAGTGTGTACCCATAATTCATCTTAAAAAGGAAGATAAATTACCTTAAGCTTTTTGTTGTTCTTTGTCTCAGTATACATTTGAATTTCAATGGCATATACTTCCAGAAGCTGACTTCCCTTCTTTTGATCATCTGTACCATCTTCCCTTTTACAAGATTTATGAAGTTCCTTCAAAATCTGATAGTTGGACAGATTATATGATTATTACATAATATTTTGCATTGTGGATATATGAAATTATAAGGTTTTGAAAAGATACCTTGTTCATTCGCCCATACTCACCCATATCAAACCAGATCTTGCAAAGCTTAAGGTTCGTCTTAAACCAAAGTCTCTGCAAGACAAGAGAGCAACATATCACATATTGATGCAAATGCTGAAGCAATGATACTGTAGATTCAATAATTTTCTAACCTCATTCTTTGCCTCTTCAAGGGCCTTCAGAGTGGTCTGATAAAATTCTTGTAGGAGATCAAAATTTTGACTAGCTGACCCAGAAACAAAATCCATAATATTGTTTAAACATTTTTCACTGTAATTTCGTGTCACTGCTGATTTGATGTATGTTAGCATCTCCCTGTAAGCGTCCATCATTTCTTTATACCTCTCTAAACGGTAATAGAGCTTTACAGTTTGCTTCAGAGCTTTGAATCCCCTAGCAGAGAAAGTATGAGTACACTATTTAATATTGATAAGGCTCAAATCAAATGCATACTTTTTTGGTGAACGAGACAATTGTTTTTAATGGATAGATAAAACAATAACCACAGTTCGTAAAAGTTGCAAGAACTTTATTTGTATAAGGGAATTCTTTGGGTCCATCCCTAGTGGAGAGGCAACAGACAATGTATGCTCTTTAATAATGTGGCTTACATGTGCTAAATCATAAAACTATTTATCAAAAGGAATGCAAAAAAGGATTAGTTTGAAATAATTGTAGAAAGGCTAGGTAATAACCACGATATACCAGAAGTAAAAAATCCAAATATCAATTCCAGAGAACTCACCACTCAGCCTTCTCAGGCTCCATGCCAACCACTCCAGCAAAACCAGAAAGTGCTCCTTCACGGTCTGTTTCTACCAAACCTTTAATGACAAAAGAAAAGAAATTATTAATAATAAAAAGTCGGAATCCATAGATTGTCAACCAACGACAAGGTTTTAACTTTTAAGCATTATCCATACAGAACTGGACCCCTAAGCTCACCTTCACAATTACTCTATGGCACAAAAGAAGATATTTAGGAACCATTATATATTATCATTTAATCAAGAGGACATTGTAATTAACCAAAAAAAAAAAAAGACCTTAACACAAGGTACATACACACACAACAGAGAGACAGAGAGAGAGAGCATCAGAAAAGGTTAATGACGATAATAATAACGCGTGGTGGGTCAATTGCTAAAATCAATAGCTTAACAAGTTTAGGTTATTATTTGACCACTAGCAACAATTACAACTAATCAATTTCCCAATTTTACAGCCATAAACCCTAACAGCTCTTCACAAACGTATTCGAAAGGTGAGCTCTAACTCCAATCTAAGGTAATAGTTTGAAGCATATAAAAATATTAAGACACTTTTTAGGTGAATCTGAAACAAAGCATGATCCTAGCAATATCCAAATAGAGATTAAAGAATAATATACGAAAAAAGAAAGAAACCTTTGGAATTGTAATATTGATTCTCAATGTCAACGTCTTGTTCCTCAGGCTCTTCATCGGAGTACTCGAATCCATAATCCTCCATATCCGCATCTGCCCAATTCCAAAAACCAATTGATCTTATCAAACACTAATAACGAAACATTTTTTTTTTGAAAAAAAGAAAGGTTAATACTACAAAATTAAAATTTGAATCGAAGAAAACCAGAGAGAAAATGAGAGACCTGAAGCCATGATTACAGGGATAAAATCGGCAGGTTCAGTGAATTAGAATCGTTTTCGAATTTAGAGAAGCAAAGGTAAAGGTGTCGATTTGCTGAAACTAAATTATTAAATTAAATTAGAAGCAAAAACCCCTCCACTGCCCACTGCTCTCTGTTTCGAAAATCCTTTTTAGGGTTTAAAGTTTTAACAGTGAGAGGGGTATAAGCAGGTATTCAGTCGATTTAGCAATTATGGCACGTTTGGTTGAAGAGCTATTTCTTTCCGGAACAAATATATAAATCCATTCTATTACGTGTTTGGCAGTATTTTTAGATGTCCAACGGAATCTTACACTAGGCGTGAGGTGGCGTCCCAATTTATCAGTGATCACTGAATATGTATAATAATAAAATACAATTAATGACTTATATTGTTTTTTAAAAAAACTAATCATATATCTGACATCAGATAATTTCTTTAAAATCGTAACCACCGCCCATGTCTCTGTTCATAGTTGATGCCTTAACAAAAACAGTTACAAAGCTCATAGTTGTCTGAAATCCATGGTCCTATTAAAAATAGTCAGCAGATCTATACGAATTATCTAAGGAAACATGTTTCATCAGTCACTGACTTGATCGTACATCAAATATCAGGTTCATAACATTGAGGTATAAATGGAAAAATATTCTGGCTCCACTAATGTTTTAATCAGCATCCATCTCTTCTAGTGCAGCCTTGGCCGCAACCTTGGCTTCCTCCAAAAGGTCATCGGGAACCTGAAATTCCGCGAAAGTGAAAGTGAGGAACTGTTTCGATGGACATATTTCTAAGAATACAAACCAAAAACTAGGACTTGTGACAAACTATCTCTAAAAGAAATTTGAATTACATGGAAATAAAGAGCTATTAATCATTCATGTCACATTACACAAATTAATAAGTTATTCTGGCTCCACTAATGATTTAATTAAGTTAGCATTGCCTTATGGTCCAAATTTTTAGGCAGTTAAGTAACAGCATCTGCCAAAAAAGGAAAATTGTTTGCGCATACAAGAAAATATATGATAAAAATTATAAGCATTCAAAAAAAACGTGGAGGTAGAACCAAATGAAGATAAAACGGGAGAACATCTCAAGGCAGCTCTTGACATGTGAGATGAAGGCCCATATATGCTTCTATTACATGTGATTCAATTCCCATGTCAAAAGAGACGGAAAAATACATGGGTAAAAGCATATAAAGGACCTTACTTTTACTATTCTTACTTAGTATATGGTCCTAAAAGAGCACAATGGCATAGTCTACTTCATGTAACCAACCTTGTTTAGGAGGAAAAGGGCATGAATTTTGTTGTTTTAGCTAGTTAGAAAATTGACACAAATGCATATCTAAAAGATGGTTTGAAGAATTACCTTTTGATGTTGTTGCTTTGACTCGTCACAGACCCAACTCATCTCAAGTTCAAAGGCCTTATCCTTTGCTTCATCATGTACCTTGTAGATACTGCTTAAGAAAAATTCACATGGCTAAATCTAGTAATAGCATAAAAAACTTGCATTCAAAAGGAAAAGGAAGAAAACACCATGTATATCAATGCATGATGAATATGAAAATTTAAGAAAAAAACAAAAGCACTCCTCCTAGACCTCCATCATCTTAAAAGTTCAAGTTCTCCGGCTCACTTCTATTTTGTTTTGAATTTTACATGCTGCAAGAAACTGGCAAGTTAAACCCCTACAAGTATACATTGCCAACTCCAGATACAAGGTATTTCCTAACCGTTGCCAGAGAACTGAGATTTCAGTTTATTGTAATATGTAGGATCATATAGTAGGAGACACACGCACAACAATATATCATCCAAACAATTTAAATTACACCTTACTGTTACCAGAAAAGTGAGATTTATTTTTTTGATCAAGCGAGAAGTGAGATATCTGTTTGCTGTAATATGAAGGACATATAGTAGGAGACACAAAAATCCACAATCCAAACAAGATTTATATAGCTAATTCTTACATAATGACTTAGGTAGATATTATCGGTGCAAGTACAAGGCCAAATTCCAACATATAGGAGATAAAATCAGATTTCCCAGAGAATTAAACTATGATATATGTTCTGCATTACAGTTGAAGTAACCTACAGCATTAGAGATATAAAAGAAGACTATGTAATCAAATTTAAGACCTTTTTTACAAGATCTTTGTAAAATTATCTCTTTTGAGGTACAATATAAGCTTAAAATTACATCTTTTCCAAACTATTGGCAGCTGGTTTCAGCTATGTAGTTGAATATTAGCATACAAGTACCATTGGTTGTCAACAATCATAATGGAAAACATAAATCTTTCCATCACCATAACAGTCATGCTAATATTGTGGTAAACCAGACATCGCAAAGAATAGACAAATAAATGGAGATCAAATTTTTTTTTGATGTTGTTGCCCAGATTTTCTGGTATTGCAAGAATAACAGAGGACTAGCATTCAAAATGATGATGCAAGCAAGACTCTTTAAAGGGGGGAGGGGGGGGGGAGGGGGGAGAAAGAGAAAACAGAATAAAAAATGCACAAACAATTTTAGAACCACCAATTAACCCCGGATTCCAAATAAGTAGATTAGAACAGAAATAGGAAGAAAATATGATAGGTAACACTCACATTTTGGCTACTTCAATAACCCCTTCCCTGCACGTCATTTCAGACAGCTTCAACTTTTCAATTTCTCTGTCCACATATTCCATTCAGCCACGAACTTATCAGTTATTGGCAAGATGACGGCAGAAAGAAAGAGGTAACCAAAGATTGCAAAAGTCAAGATCATAAGAAAGGTTTTAACTTCTTTATATGTTTCATAGGATAAGCCCATAACCAAATAGAATGGAGAAAATAATTTCATGTAGCTTGGCCCAAAGGTTTTGACTTCTTTTACATGTTTCTTAGGATAAGCCCCTAACCAAATAGAATGGAGAAAATAATTTCACGTAGCTAGGCCCAACTAGTTTCATGTTAAGGTAAACTTGATTTGATGACTCATAGGCAAATGACAAGTAGTGAAACAGCACACAGTTCATTGCCTTAATCTACTTGGGTAGATCCACTCCACATGTATACTTTCTCTTTTATTAAAATTGAAAAATGCAAACTCAGATTAACGTTTACTTGGGCTTCATTGAGGGATTTTAAGTGTCAAATTTTAAACATAAACTTCAAAGCTTTCAATTTCTATGATGCATCCATTTTTGCTCTTTTTTTTTTTAAATAAAAAAGAAAGACAAATATTAATATTGAGGAAATGCATACGTTGGGAGGAGGGGGATTTTAATGATTTGAGAGAATGCCAGGAACATCTTCACTGCTGATTGGTTTTCATAAGAGAGAAATTATAAGCAGGAAAAAAAAAAGGATTAAAGTCCATTAAAAGGCTTTTCAACTGATGACCATTGCATCAAAATACTACACTAGCTTTCACTGGTCGAGATGGCAAAAATAAAAGTCAAGAATATTTAATGCCCCAATCATCCCAGCTAACTGGCTTGCATGCCCAAATGGTTTTATCAAATGTCAGCCTCTAAGTTCCACAGACTGAAAGAAATACTTTTGTAACTTACGTTTTGGCAGCTTGTTTTCCCTTCCCAATTGCAGCACCAAAATATTTCTACATCAATTTTAAAAAGCAACAAGGCAAACAGGAAGAAATACATTATTGACTAGAGGAATATATAAATATACCAATAGAGCTAGTAACAACACAGAAAGAAAAAATGAAGCTGTAATTGGGAGAAATGAACTTACATAGGAGATGCCGGATGGTTCAACCATATATAATTGGGGACCATCTCTATCATAACCTCCGAGTATTATGCCACAGCCGAAGGGCCTGAGCCACCAGTAAAGGGTGCATAAATGGACATAACTTGCTACGCGTTCAGCAAGTTCTTTGACAGGAATGGGTTCACCATACACACTACACCACCGCCAACAACAAATGAAACTTATAATTAGAAGGACAAATAACAATATAATTAAAGCTGAACTTTGGGAATTGAAAGTAAAGAAAAAAGGAAAAACCTTTGGTAATTAGTAGCTTCAGATTTAGCACGTGCCACAATTTGTCTACCGTCAGCTGCTAATCCTGCCACTGACTGAATTATAGCATTCAACATCAGCAAGGAAAGAGAAAGAGAGATTAAGAATTCAAATGTAGCATTGAAAGAAAGGGGGAATAGTGAATACCATGCCAGAATGGCGATGAACGGAATGGATTCTACGATTAGAACCAGGTAACATCATCTTTGATGCTATCAGCTTCTCCACTCCCTAAACAAAAAATCAGTTTAGCATACATTTAAATATTTGATTTTCATTTTCAAAACAAGCAATGGAAGCAAAAGAAAAGGGATTACCATAACGATCCCATCTTTGCATTTTATTCCAATTACAGTTCTGCAAAATAAAAAGTTTTTTGAAAACAAAATTAGATTTTTGGAAACCTAAATATACAAGAGAAGAATATAATTATCAAAGAAGAAGAACGGACCCACTATTATCGACGGCTTTGGCCGCGTACTCGATCTGAAAAACGCGGCCGTCGGGAGAGAAAGTGGTGACAGAGAGATCGTAACCAGTTCCAATGCTACTCATCTTTGTTCTCTGCTTTGCTTTTTCCTACTTCCAACACTTTGCTCTTTGTTTCTCCTATACCGTTTTCCAGTTTTCTTTCTTCGCAAGACTTCAGGCCGATGGGTCTGATTGATCCAGTAAAGCTCTCCCAATGGCCTCTTCTTACGGACCAAGCCCTAACTAAAGCAAATTGTGGTCTCGGGTCGGGCTCGAACCTTTCCCGTGGGCCTCCCAAAGAAAATAAAACGGCGTTCGTTCTATCGTTTTATTTAGGTTAAAGGACAGAACAGGAGCACAAGTCAAAGCAGGTTATTCTACAAGTTAAGGAGCACTTTCGTAATTTAACGGAAACCATGAATCCATCTTAAACCCTACATCTCTCCGTCCTTCCTTCCCCTGCCATTACATCGCAGGAAGAAGCTTCTAGTCCTTTTCATTCTTTTCTTTTGTTCCTTCTCTCAGACAAACATGGCGAAGCGTTTGATTCCATCGTTTAATCGCATTTTGGTTGAGAAAATAATCCCTCCTTCTAAAACCAACTCGGGAATCTTGCTTCCTGAGAAGACCCCAAAGGTTATAAATCTTTCATTTTACTCAGCTTTAGTTTTTTTTTTTTTTTTTTGTAATTTTTTGTTATATTTTGATTGTCTCAGTTGAACTCTGGAAAAGTGGTGGCAGTGGGTCCAGGAGCAAGAGACAGAGATGGGAAACTTATCCCAGTTAATCTAAAGGAAGGAGATACGGTTCTTTTGCCTGAATATGGAGGCACTGAAGTCAAGCTTGGAGATAAAGAGTTAGTCTTTTTTTTACGCCAATCTGTTATTAAAACTTTAACTTTCATGGACAGCAAATGGGTTCATCCGATTATAAATGATGCTTTAATAGAATCAAATAGGATTAATATGTAATTTGTTCCCTCAACTATACTACCTTTAATGATTTGGTACTATAGAAAAAAAATTATAATTAGGTATCTAAACTTTGTTTTCGTCAAGCATTTTGCACCATTTAGTAGCATCTTAACTAACATTTTAAAATGCTGTCGGTGTAAATACTGATCGATAAAAATGTGTCACATTTCATGATAACTTCACTCCGTCGTCTCTGTCTTCCACTTCTCCATTCAGGCTGTGGATTGGCTGCTAACTCACACAGCAAACATCAATGGGTAAGGTCGTCAAGCTACTTGCGCCTGTCTGATCTGATCGTTTTTAGTTGTATTTTGACCACATCAGCTTCCTGTTAGCAAAATTGGTATGGGTAAAATGCTTGACGAAAACAAAGTTCGGGTACCTAATCTTGAATTTTTTTCCTTTTTTTATGGGTACTAAATGGTGAAAAGTTGTATAGTCAAGGAGATAAATCACATATTAACCCAATCAACTATTGATATTGTAATCTCTGTGATGTTTATATGTGGTCGATTTTGTTTTTCTGTTGCACATTTTAAGTTACATTTGGCAGAACAAAAGTTAGCATAGCCTAGAATATAAAACTATTGCTATCAAATGGTACAAATCAATTGTTGAAATTGCTTTTCGGCATTTTTAACTTTGCATTGTTGTCATTGTAAAGTTGCAATCTTTAATGCTTACTCGCTCATGTTTTACTCAGTTCAGTTACGAGCCTACTGCAATGCCAAAGGTTTTTCTAATTTTTGGTGCAATATGCCTTATTTATAACCCTATTATTGTTTACTTATCTGCTGAGGAAGTGTTTTTGCATTGAATAGTTGAAGGTGATGGGTCTACGTTAAGATGTTTAACTAGCAGTATTAGGGTCTAGTGAAGTCTTTAAAAGTTTGTTATCATACTTGAAGGTCATGTTTTGTTATCATACTTGAATGTCATGATTACTCTAGGATAGTCGAGTAGAATCCTTGCTATCCTTTTCTGAGTCTGTCAACTGGAAACCTCTGGAGCAAGGTTGGTTAAGAGGTTAATATGGAAACAAGGTCATTCAGCAGACTTGGCCCTCGGCATGAGATCAAAATGTATGACCTCGATTTTTTTTAACAAACTTTACTACCCATTGTCTTCACAAATAGTCAGTGATGTTGTGGTTTGTAGAGTGAACTAAAATGTTTGATTCTTGAATCCCTTACAATGTCACAAGTTTTTAGTGCATTCGAGTCTGATGTCTGGATGAAGAAGATGAGTGAGAGCAAAACTCAGTTTCTGGTTGCCATTGACAGATTTGGTATAACATGAAGGAATCCGATATAGATTTAGAAATATTTACATTTATGTCATCATTTGCCCTTATTAGACTAATGTGCTGCATGGCATTGGCAAGGTATCAGGCTTCCACAAACATGCTTATGTTAAATGTTATCAATCTGAAGTAGGCCTTCTAGATTATAAAACTAGAGGTTTAGATTCTACATTCATCTACCTTTCATTGGCATCGGATTTTGGTGTTAACATATTTTCTTCTTAACCTACTGTTTCAGGTATCACCTCTACAGAGATGATGATATCTTGGGAACACTTCATGACTGATTTATAGCGGTGGCTGCTCTTGAAGGAACAAGTGTTTGTCTTTGACTTGTGACCGTATCAGTAGTTTATGCATGTTGGACCTTTCATTGATTGTTGGCATTTTGGATAAGGAGTGTTTTCAAGAACCGAATTTACTCATGATGGAAACTGTCGTCCAAATCGTCCGTTAATAAGATATTGTTAAAATCTTCCATCAATCATTTCATATTTTTATCTGCTGATGCCACTTTAAGTTTTCATAGCCTTGGTCAAACGAACAATATTGAAAATTAACAATGCTTATGAGACAAGCTGGGGTTTGAAATTGAAGTGGATAGGCTTTAAATCGATTGTCTTTCTTTTTTTTTTTTCTTTTAAACTAAGTGTCTTGGTCAATTGAATGTAGGTTACACTATCAAATTTGATCAACTCATTTGAAAAGGCACAAGAACAATGGTTTTGATCATAAGCTTCTACCAAAACGATTCTTCAACTACTCCATAAACAAGCCATGCAGGGACCATCCCTCGGCGGTTTCACGAGTTTAGGAACTTCTGAGCAGCATCAAAACTCAACCCCTCGTGCACCTGCAAATGAATGAAAAATTGAAATTTCATTCAATCAAATACCAGAAATTGGAACTTGATAAGAAAGATAACTCGATGGTTCCGGGAAAACTAAAATAGACGCCCATACAAGCTTCTTGTGAACGTCTTGAAAAGCCTTGCAAAATTTGTCTGCCTCTGCTGCACCCACCTATATCAGTCAAAAAGTACCCATTATTAACATTAACTCATAAAATACTTCCAACACAAAGATTGCCAAGAAATATCAAACATACGAATTGTATCAACAATAAAAGAAAAACTTAAAACAATATTCCATAAGAACCTGAAAAACAAAAAGTAACACCATCTGGAGTTGCAGGCAAGGATCATATTAGTTACAAATGCTCCTTTTCTGGTTGATTTGACATGTAATTGTAACACAAATAACTACTGGCTACTGCAGAGGCAAGGTTTGATTCAATCCTTTCTGCTAATTTCTATCTGATAAAAATATTGCATGACATTGGCAGTGGCTGTCTATTATGCATCAACAGTAATTTAAAGTGCAATTTTAAGCCAGTTAATCATTCCCAGAAAGAGCATGTAGAGCGTTGAAAGGCCTAACTATTGCTATGCATTATGAACAGTAGGATAATATACCCAAAGCTCACTCTAATAAACAATATAAAGAATCAAAGTCAAAATGAAAATAGGTACTAAGATCTAACAGCTGAAAATTTGTTTATCTACTTTGAAGGAGAATACTATCCAGTAAAATTAAAAAAAAAAAAAAAAAATCAAAGGCACAGGTCATTGTTGTCCTGTGATAATAGCTGATACGCTGGAGCTCTTGGTGTGTGCCACTAAAGACGATAAAAGTTGCTTTCACGCTCAATTATTGTTAAAGCTCATAACCAACTGAAACTTTTAAAACACATAGGCATTCGATCTTTATCATCAGAAAGAGGTTTGAAAATTGTCAACCGTAACTAATAGAAAAGATCTTCAAAGATGACATAACAGAACAAAGGTCGGAAGAGCAAAATAGATGGTGTCAGAATAATGGTTGAAAGAATGTCAAGGCCCCTCAAGAATAACATAATTGTTGTTGTAGAAGCAATCTCACCACAACTGCTTATTGTCAATTTCACAAACTTCATTGAAGTTTCAGGGAACTATGCACGGAATGATAATGGAAATTAGACACTGTGGGAAGACTTCAGGGAGCTATGCATTGGAATCAAAGACCATGGGAAGAGCACTAAGTCCAAAGAAAATCAGATAGCAGGAAACATCTACAATGGTTATCAATCTCATCTTTTACTTACATTTTGATAACAGCGTTTCATTTTATTTTTATTCCTGAACAGAAAAACGCTGTTGGGTTACCACCTTTTCTTTTTTTCTCTTTTTTATTTTTTTTTTAAAATTCAGTAAGTACAAAAGGCATAAGGTTTATTTTCATTAGAAGAAAAAAAACATTTTGATTCTAAAAGCTCCTTAACTCATCAGATCCACAATAAATCAATCAAGTTATCAGTATTAATTTTATGGTCCTGTAGTAAGTAATTTCATCAGTCACCACAATGACTTCTACATCATGTGACAACAAATGTGCATTCAGAAGAGAATAAACACAAGACGCCATTTTGATTACTGTAAACATTAATTAACTTGAGGTCATTAGATTTTAACCATACCTTCCTCTCAGCTGCCAACTTTAGCTTCTGCCAGAACTTATCTGCCATAACAAACACATGCAAGTAAACTAAATAAAAGTTGTAAGACTATTTTTTCAAAAGAAAAAAAATAAGTGATTCTCGTTATTTCCCCAAGGTTTGCAAATAAAATGGATCAATTGATGACAGATCAAGACTTTCATCCAAACATATTCACAACAGAAACGTCTAACTATTTTCTTTAGCATGGAGATGTATGACTGTAAACAGAGATATTTTATTCTATGGAATGTGTGTGATAAACTACCATGCAGATCAACTTCTTGATTTTCCTTTTCCTTTCTTTCACCATCATTCCATGCATCTTGCCACTCACTAAGCTGTTAAGCAAATGACAAACATGACAAGCCAGCATATAACAGATACAACTCAAACAGATTATTACATACATTATCAATTAAGGAAAAGGGAGTAGGGAGAATGAATCAGTTCAGTACATACAGCCCTATTCGATGCTGAACGGGAAGTTGATTGTCTCGATGAATCTAACTCAGCCTGAAATTTTAATAGTTAATTTCAAACAACAACGAATCTGAAATCTTTAAATCAGAATGAATGCACTCATAACCCTCAAAATTATTGCATGAATCAACTGCTCTCAGTGATTAAAATCTAAACATTGGATCATAAACTAGAAAACTACCCCAATCAAACATTTTGCAAATGCAACTAAACCCAAGTATTAATCTCAGAATTTTTCCTACTCAATAATGAGACCATGAAACATTTTAACGGCTTAAAAAAACATCATTTCACCAACTCCGAGAAACAATAGTGGCACTATAATATGTATTTTTTGCTTAAGTCCCACAAAAACCCGTATGTAGCTCTTATAATACTCTCTCTCAAAAATATGAAAAAAAAAAAAAGCTTTAGCATTACTCCAACACAGATCATCAACCAAATCAAAGAAAAGAGTAAATCAATAAAAACAACGATTTAAATACACTAAAATAAAATATTATAGCAGTAAAACAGGAGGATCTTTCAAAACGTTTTACAACGTGAAACTAAAGAAATTAAAACTTACAATGGGTATTCCAGATAAATGAACCCACTTAGGAAAAAAAAATCAAATCAAAGCAAAATATTGATGCCAAACCCATAGATAAAAAAGGCAGTATAAGAATTAGAATATGGTGTAGAAATAAAAAAGAGAGATATTAATTTTACGTGGTAGTCACGAGGTCGAACAACAGGGAAGAGATCTAGAAGGCGTCGAAATTCTTGATCATCCATCTCAATAATCCTTATGGTATGTTGGGATTGAGAGGAAGGAAAGGAAAGAAAAGGAAAGGAAAATAAAAGAAAGTAATGGAAACAGAAAAAAAAAATTTTATGGGGATAAGTTTTTAATTTAAAAGAAAGGAAAAATATGGAAATTCAATAACTTTTAATTTTTTTTTATAATTTTTATTTTTTTAATACCTAATTGGAAGGAAAAGTTGAGGAAAGGAAAGCTAAAAAAAATTTATTTTTATAAAAAAAATTATTATATCTAATTTTTTATTAATACCAAAACTCTAGTAAAAAAATCTTATCACATCATAATCTTTTTATAATTTTTTTAAAGTCATCTTTTTTTCAAGTAAGTTTCACGTGTCTCTTTCAATATAAAATTTTTTTTAATTTTTTTATGATTTGATCTTGATGAATGATTAAATATGAATAGACATATTTTTTAAATTTATGAGATGTCAAAGTGATAATATACTGAAATTTTGATAATGGTCAACAAATCTATCAATACATATTTGTAAAATATCTTTTTGTTTCGTTTAATTAAAACCACTAATATAGTAGTAATTGTGAGACTAGATAAGATAGTAAATATATTATGATCCAAAAATGTATTATAAAATCACAAGCAATGAAAGTTTATAATTGAAAAAAATTATTATAATGAATCATTTCTTTTATTTTTCACTCTTTATCTAAACAATGGTTGTTAGAATTTTTTTTCTTTTATTAATTTTAATTATCCAAATAAATGATGCATATATCCTTTCTTTTCTTTTAAAAAACTTTTTTTTCTTTTTTTTCTTTCTTTTTTTTTTATTAATATTTATCAAAACATAGCATTAAGCTTTTGTCTCTCATTTCATCTATTTTATTTATAACCAAATTGCCCTGGGGATTAAATAATAATAATAATTGTAATTTAAGTTACTAAATTTAGTGATTTAGTTTTTTTTTTTTTTTGAAGGAATACTAATTGTAAGAAAAAATTAAAATTATTTTATAGTATTATTTTAGACCAAATAATAAAAAATTAATGAAAATTTTCATTTTATTTAAATAAATGTTTATAATTTTATTACACTTAAATAAGTTATTTACCTTTAATTTATAGGTAAATAAATCTTTAATCTCTTATTTGTATTCAAATAAGTTTCAATAGTTAATTTACACCTAAATAGACTCTTAATATAAATTAATTTTTTTAGTTAAAATAAAACTTATTTAAATATAAATTAAAGAATAAAAATTTATTTGAATATAATAAAAATATAAAAATTTATTTTTAAAAAATTAAAATAGTTCAAATACTTTTTTAGTATTTTAGGCTACAATTATTTTGTAATTTAATCACAATTATAAAGCCTAAAAAGTAATGGAGCAACTAAATTTAACTTAAAAAATTAATCATCTTGAAAATATCTAACAATATTCAAAGCAAACTCATAATAAAATTGATTTAAACAAATTTATTTTCGAATTCAAAATTTCGTACTAAAGTTTTAAATTACAATACTTTATTCTTGGCTTTGTCATTAATTTTCAAATATATATATATATATCACTTAAAAGTATTATATTATAATTAATCAATTATACTTTAATATTGTTTAAAGTCTATTAAAAATCCACACTTATAAATGATGAATCTCTGCATTATTATTTCTTGTGATTGAAAAATTACAAAATTATAATAAAAAATTACAAGTGAATGAATTCCACTATATTTATTAAATTTTACTTAGAGCAATTAGCTTTTATAATTTTATTATAATTTTATTTGAACCAAAAAATAATCATAATTATATCTGTTTAAAATACAACAATGCTGAAGCAGTCCTTAAAATAGAAGTAGTTGTTTTCATGAAATTTCTAATTCCTTATTGACAAACATATAATGGATTATAAACCTTGAAAGTTGAAACCTTTTGCATTAGAATAAAAATTTTTGAATGCGAGTTCCTATAATTTCATTGGGAGCATTGAGAAACATTATGAGAGATGAAAATTGCCATTTGGAAAGCAAAATTTTGAGCATTTTCTTTCCTTGTTAATACCTAGAAGAGGAAACAAAAGGATAAACGTAAAATAGGAGAGAGTAAAAATTGTTAAAAATAAATAAAAAAAAGAATAGAAATAATAAAAAAAAACTTAGCTTTGAGGTATGAAAAATATTTTTTTAAAAGGTAATTATGTTTTTACGATACAATAAAGTTTTAAAATTCTCCAAATAAAAGTAGTAAAAATGGTTATACTAAAATATTTATTTATAATTAATGAACAAATATAAATTTTTATTTAAATAGTTATGATCTTTTGTATAATCTTGACCTTTATGAATAATAATCTGTTTATATTCAAGTAATTATAATTATTTATCATATGATAATTGTTTCTATTCAAATATAATTATTTTAATTTTATTTATCAATAATTAAATCTTTCTATCAATATAAGATGCATCACATTCTAAATTATCAATAATCCCCACTAGTTTGGAATGTTAGTGCTTAATCTTTAACTTTACATACAAATAAATATTATGAATACAATAAGGTAACTTTTGATTTAAACTTTCAAATAGCATTTATATCTTAGAATTCTAACGAAGTTGATGGTGTCCACAAATTAAACCTCAACTTTTAGTGTTAGAATTGAAGATATAATACACATCATACTTTTTATTCTTTTGTTAGAGGTTTATAACTGTTTTAGCACTTTTATGATTATGTATTTATTCTATTTATAAACATTTACAAAAAAGACCTTAATTCTTCTTGTTAAAATGGCACCACTTTTATGTTTATTTAAGTAGAGTTTCCATTATGTCTCCATTACTTTAGAAATTTAAAACTCCATTAAGAGTATAAAACTTTATTCTCCCCATGCAATGGATCACACTAGTTTTTAAAATTTAAATGGATTTCACTAATACTTAACAATCACATAACAATAACTTGTTTTTATCTATTAAACTTTATAATTAAAGGCTACTAATTTGAAGTTGGGTTTTCATTATTGGTGTCTAAGTAGTACTACTAATCAAATATCTTGGAATTCAAATTTTCTTTTATTATAATTATCTCCACTTGAGATTGAATCTCTAATATAATCATTTCATACTCATATATCCAAAATTTTCATTTTGCATATCATTTATATGCTCTAGATATTGTCGTCTCATTCTTGTCATTTTAAAATATAGCTGGTTTTAGTTGTAGCCACAGCTCTATACTCGTAAATTTTAATCATTCTATTTTCATACTTTTATACATCCTTAATACAATTATACTTCTAGTATAATTAGATAAATTTAATAAATAAATCAAACAATTTGTCCTTTTAAGATTTTTTAGGACCTTTTTATGACTACATTATGGTGGTAATTTGTTTTTCTTTTTATTCTTAATTATCACTCTCGTCATGTGCAAGTATACATTCTTTTATTAAAGAATGTTTCATTCAATTATCAAGATATTATATATATTTAAATTAAGTTGCTATTTCATTTATCTTTTCACTATTTAGTGGATTTTTTTTTTAAAATAGGAGGCCATCCACCCTAGTGAAAGATAATTAAAAAATATTCCATATCTTAATATTTCTTTTTCATAAAAGTTTCAAAACTTTTATATTTTAACTCAATATAAAAGTTTACATCAATAAGTAGATTTCAAACATAATCATGCTTCAATTCATAAATAATTATATAAATCTATTTTATCATTGATACTATTAATAATTTTTATTACCATAAACAAAATCATTTTTATCATCCAAATGGATCAAATAGCATTCTTTTTTCTGTTATAAAAGTTTTCATATTCACAAGACTTTTGAATCACTCATAGCTTCCAAAGTGAATATACTTTAAAACTTTCATTATATTTCAAAACTTTTATTAAAACCATAAATGATAAATCATTTATACAATCCATGAATTAGACCATATACATAACAAAAAATTATCACAATGTGATCAATATTGGCTTATGACTATTCTAAGTCAACCATAATAATCTACATCATACCTACAAATCATGTAGATTTAGTTATTGAATTTATCTCATTTATAGTGATGGCTTTTAGTGAAAACCAATTATCTCAAATGTTATCATGAGTTTCAATACATATATTTTTTGCTGAATAGCCAATTTCAAGTTCATGACTATTGAAATCTTTAAACTTAATTTCAAATTTTTATGAGAACTTTATTTCTCCACCATTGCATAGTCTAAGTATATATCTCTATTATTTACCACTTTTAATTAGTCATAACATTTTTTTATATATAATAAATTTAAATTTTTACTCATAGGACTAATATACCTATATATAATAAAAGTCCATAGTATATTTAACTCTAATTTTAAATACTTTCACAATCATTTTGTGATCAATATATTTATATCTAGATCATCATATCAACGCAAGTCATAAAACATGAATTTAAAGAATCATTTTCATAAAATAACATAAACAATAATTATAATATGAGTGCAACTCATATTTCATGCAAAAACTCGTAATGAATTTGTATTGGTTAAATTATTAATTGACTAACTCCAAAGCTTACAGCTTTCACAAGCCAATATTATTATCTAAGCCATATGTTAATATGGTGTATAACCAGCCACCTTTTTGCCATTGTCATGAAACTATTGAAAACCACGAAAACTTGTGCTTTTTTCATTTTAATAGTCTATAAAGGCCATTTTTTTAGGTACAAGAAGCAAAAATATCTTCATTGTTTTTAACCAATAATATATTAATTGGATGATGGCATTCTATCTTCATAGTTTGTATTTTTCTTATATGTATAAGAAAGAAAATTTCACCCCATTCATTTCATTTTCGTAATATATGACAAACTGCATAAATGTTTTTCATGCCATCATAAAATGGAATTAAAAATATACATGTACTGGTGCCTTCAAAATATTGAATTTGTATGTTCTTTTCTACTTTATAAACATGGCTAATTAGACATTGACGAGCATCCTTCAAAATATTAGTAAGCAACAAATGCTTCAATATTTTTAATGATATACCTTTTTTATTAATCAATCATCTAATTAGCTTAAATTATTGGCCA